GGCCATGATTCAGCCCCTTCTCCTTCTTCTCTTGGGATTTGGGGCACACATGCACATGTACCTGGCATGCTTTTTGAGCCACCAGGTCTGGGACTTAAACCAGTTAGCCAGGTGGGATTCAGACTCCTTAACCACCATGCCACCCGGCTGCCCGTGAAGTTCAATTGTTTTTAATTGCCAGAGAGCATGTACTCTCACCAGAGAGAGACAGCAACCCCATTGGGGGGTCACCCTGTAGTCCTTCTCCCTCCATCCTGCTGTCCCACTAGGATTCGGGGCTCACACACATGTGCGCCTGGCACCAGGATTGAAAGCACAGTCAGCTATGTGGGTTTGGCTTCCTGTCCCCAGGGCCTGACCACTGTGCTGTGGGGCCAGCTCTTGGGTCCACCTTGTCAAGTGAGGACACTGACGGAAACCCTTGGACACCGCTTTCCCATGCCATGATGTAAGCTGGTGCACAGTGCCTGGCAGGAGGGCGTCAGGATGGCCGCAGAGCAGGGGCTGGAGAGACGGCCTTGCACCGTGCACACCACGGAGGCTGAGCTCTGGCGGAGCAGCTGGGGCCGAGCTGAGAAGCCCAGGCTGCGGAACTGCTCCCTCGCCTGCAGCGTGACAGGACAGGGTCGGAGACGCCCTGTAAATGCGCGTTCAGGCGGAATTCTCACCACGTTCTAATCCAAGCCCAAGGGAAGCCAATGGCCGCCATCCCTGCCCGCCAACCCTCGAGCACTTTTCTACTCAGTGAGTCGGCAGTGCCCTGCGAGCAGCTCTTCACCCTCAGTCACCTTTCCTCAGGGACAGGCCATTGGCCTTGCCTCCACTTCTGCCCAGGCCTCCTCACCTGCCTCTCTGGGGGACCCGTGTCATCAGACGTGCGTCTAAGGTCCACCTGAGGACAATTCCCCGGCACGGAGCAAAATCCACTGCCCGGACGAGGGCGGGCCTCCGCCGTAGGCTGAGGAGGCATGTCATGGGCCCTCCATGCCTCTGCTCTGTGCTTTCGAAGCCCACGCGCACTGCAGTGACAGGGTAACTAGGTGACACAGTGACAGGGTAACTAGGTGACGCAGTGGCCATGTGACAACACCCTCTGTCAGAGCCCAGGCAGAGGCTTTGTACGGGAGCCCTGTCTTCCAGTAGCCACCAGAGGAGGTGGGTCCTTGCAGCCCACTGTGAAGACCAGACAGAGACCGTGCGGCGAGGGCTGGGAGTCGGACTGTCCTGGTCAGTGGGTGCTCACACCAGCACGTGCCCTTCCCACTCACAGAACCGCCGTGACTGCTTCCGTGGGCCCCGACCGCTCGGACCGTGCCTTTGAGGGCCGCAGGGAGGATCTCAGAGTGAAAGAGCCATTCACGAGCTTCTCAGCCTGACTGTCTTTCCATGGGGCCCTGGAGGAGGTGGTTGGCCCTGGATGTGGGCTTTCCAGCTGGATTAATTCCAACAAAAAGTCAAATTCCTGTGCTAACAGGGCTTAGTCAAGAGGCTTAGATTCCAACCCTAACTCGCCGTGTCTCCACTTCTGTGAGCCTCAGTTTACCCCAGACAAGCGGAGTAAGGGCCGACATGTCGCAAAGGCTCCGGGGGGTGCGCAGAATAGGGAATACCCGGAGGATGGAGGTCAGCCTAACCCAGGCCACTCCCCTCACTCCACACCTGCGCTTTCTCCCCCTGCACTTGCCCCGACCCTGCCCAGGTTCCCCGAGAGCCCCTGGCCCAAGCAGCACCTTCCACTCAGACACCCCCTCCACCTCGGCTCTGAGCTCTCGGCATCCATGTGGGGTCCCAGCCCCGGGGAGTGCTCTGATGGGCTGCATAGCCAAGGTGCTGATGACTGACACCAGGGAACAGAGGTACAGAAGACATGCTTGTCAAATGGGCCAGCCTTCTTCAGTGACGGCTGAAGAAACTGAGGCCCCAAGGCAGAGGGCCTTGTCCTTCCATGCCCAGCAGGAGCCAAGCCCAGGCTAGCGTCTTCCTCCCCAGCAATCAATCCAGTCACCAATGCATTGTCTGATGGACTCATCTGGTTTGTGGATGGGACAATGTCCTTCAGAGTAGGCATCTTGATGGCCAGCCAAGGTGGCTGAGTGGTGATCCAACACTCTACAATGCTGAAGCCACGTGGGAAGCTCCGGGTTCCCGTCCAGACGTCTCCCTGAGCACCCCAGGAGCATTCATGCCCACCCATGACTCTGGCTGACGCTAGAGGTGGATCAGGCATGAAGACTCTGCTGTGAGTCTCTTTCTCTCTCTGTCTTTTTAATTTGTCTCTCTCTCCCTCTCTTTCATCAAAAAATAAAATTTAAAACAAAACATTAAAGAAAGAAATAAAAAGAAGGCATCTTGAATGGGAGTTCCAGGTCCAGGGCAGGCCGGCGTAAGCTCTTCGGGACTCTCCCAGACCGCAGTCCCCCCATCGGACTACAGATGAGCCCACCAGACAGGTGTGTCTTTTTCCCAGCCCCACACCCAAATCCAAAATGGTAGACTACGGAATCTGCACTTTCCCCACCAAACCAGGGATGGGCGTCGTCCCCCTCGGCAGCCTCCAGGCCAGGGGCTCAATGCAGACATGGACCTCAGCCTCAGTTCCTGCCGCCAGCCGCCAGCCGCCAGCCAGAGCACAGAGCAGGAGCGCGCAGGAAGCCCGGAGGCGTGGCGCTGGCTTCCCCCCAGCCCTTGCTGGGAGGGGTGAGAGCGTGGCGCTTTCTGGGCCAGGCTTCCTGAGCCACATCTGTCCTACACACTGGGACAGCCGGCGAGCTTTGCCCAAGTGCAAGCATGTGGCCCACACGTGTGTCCAGCAGGGGCGCCTGCACAGCGCTGAGGAGCAAGCACATCTTCCAACTTACAAAAAGTAAAACAAAACTGGCAACTGTCATTAATAATCCGGTTTTTATCTTTGTGGGACTTGGGCCTGAAGGTATCAGCTTCGGCGTTCTCGAGTTTCAGTCCCCTGGCCTTCTCCCTTGACAGGGTGTTTCATCTCTCACATCAAAGGCAAGGGCTCTGCTACATCGTTGCTCTTGTTCCCAGGGCGGAGGCCAGCTGCTCTCCTCCAGACAAGCTGCTTCCAGACAGGGATTCCGCCCTCTCCCCACCTCAAGGCTTCAAGACACTTCAAAGCCATTTTCTCAGAAAAAAAAAAAAAATAATAACTTAAAGCACAAGGGGCGGAAGGGGGAAGGAGAACAGAAAAGTCTTTTTCACTTGTTTGCTTGTTTGTTTCCCTTCATTAAAATGGTGCGCTGGCCCACACGGCTGCAGCGGTCACAGACTCGAGGAGGCCAGACCTACCAGGGAGGGTCCCCAGTTCATATCTCGAAGTCTCCCTGTCCTCACTGGGTGCTTGTGGTCCCAGCCAACTGAGGCTGGAGGGGTGACTCTCTCCTTTTCTCTCCCTCTAGAAATTAGTAAACTTAAAAAAAAAAAGCAAAAAAGACTTTCAAAGTCTCATCATATGCATGTTCGCATATGAAAATGGCCATGCCATTTCATCATTTCAACCAAAGCGGACCGGTGTGTGTTTATGTAGACAGTTTTTTTAGGGTTTTCTTTTTCTTTTTGTCATAAAGCATGTGCACCCACAGGAGAGAAAGAGAGATCACCCTCCAGAGGGGACAGCCACGCCTCAATCTCTTCTCCAGTTTCCTCCCAGGACTTTGGGCACGTGTGCACTCATGCCTGCTGTGCTTTTCCGGCTGCCAGGTCCAGGACTGGAACCATGTTCAGCCATGCGGGATTCCAGCACCTCAACCCCCACACCACCCTCAGGCTGGCCTCTGCACACACTCGTTAATCCAAGCAGCTCAGAGTATTCTGGGAAGTTGTAAAGGGTAAGAAGGTGTGGTTGTAGGTAGTCTATCAGGAACTGTATGGCTCAGACCAGATGTTGAGGAAGACAGGCCACAGCCCTCACTCAGCTGGGGGTGCCGAGAGTGAGACACTGCCCACCATCTGCAATGA